GTCACTCAGATGAGAAAGCTGAGGCCCACAGCGGGGCAGAACTGGCCCGAAATCATCCAGTGGGTGAGTGGCCATTTGAGGGGTCTTTGAAGTAGCTTTAAGAAGGACTCTGAGGAATCTTCATGTAGTTTATACTTTGTAGGTCTAACATGTGCCAGCTTCGTTGTTTCTTAGGCGATCCTGTTAACACATGTAAACTCCACTTGCTGGTGCCTGGTTGTATCTGTACTGTATCTTGTTTTTGGAGTCTGTTACAGTGCTAAGTGATACTCTCACCAGAAAACATCCTAGCTCGCTGGCAAAAACTTAAAATGGCCAACAAATGAGGACGCGAAGCACACTTTCTCATTAGTAAGTACACAGGCTCTGAAGTCAAGTCCGGTATCTGTATATACTTGTGATGCTAAATTAAAAGCAACTGTGGGTAGAGAGCAGCAACATTTTGAGGCGAAACAAATCAAATCTGACATGTTTTGACTGCACTGATATATACTGATCTGAGCTCACTTTTGAAGGAGAGAAGTTTGGCCCAAAGGAGAGGAGAAGGTCTCAGGGCCAGGAACGCTTCATAGGGCGAGGAGCAATCTTTCTGGCCTTGAAAACACCCTTCCCTCTGCGACTTGGAACAAGTCCTCCACCTCCCTGTCCCACAGACCAGGAAAACACTCGCTTACTACCTTAAATAGGCACACAGGCGGGGACAGGAAGATCAGAATGAACCTGTCTGGCAAAATGTTTTCTCGTTTCTCTGATTCACTGGGGGAAGGTAGCATCTTTAATAAATTGTTTTGGTCATGCTCAACTGTCTGACTCAAAACTGACAGTGCATATTCTTATTTAAAATGTAATAAATTATGTCTACCACTATGGTATGGTTTAAGCAGGAATAAATGAAGAAGATACTTTCATTTTTCACTTGATTCACTTCTAAATGGTTTGCCTTTTTCAAACCATGAGTATATGTTACTCTTATTGTAATTTAAAAAATCTAATAAAGACTTCTGTTTGAAAAAAAAAAAAACAACAAACTAGTACATTTCCATTAAATGGAATGGCAATATGGTGAGAAACATACTCTCTTGAGGGATAAGATTTGGGTCTAACCCTTTGCCACTGACTTTAGGTAAGCCACTTAATCTTTTTAAACTTTTATTTACTCTTCTGAAAATATGAGTGTTGGATTAGATTACCTCAAAATCACATCCAGTTCTCTGAATTCTTAAATAAAAACTTTAAAGAGAAGGTAATATGAAAACTGAATTCCAATGAATGATATTTTAAAAATGACTGAAACCATAAATTATACCACATAAACTAAATATATGTGATGGTACCTGGCTCAGAGTGGACTTTCAATAAATTCATTTTGCTTCATTCATTTTATGTTAATTTTTTTAAAGAGCATGAAGCAAATTCAATCTTGTGAAGTAACAAGTTACTTAACAACACACATTCTTATATGTATATCTATTCACTTGCATTTAGGGACAATAAGGTAGACCCTAGAATCATGAAATCTTAGAGCTGGAAGGAACTTAATATCAGCCAAAACAACCTGTCTCCTTGTGAGGAACCCTGTAAAAAGTTTTCCTTACGTTTCTTCATACTTCCATAGCAATTCTTAGAACCAATAGAACTCTTTCTTGTCCTCAGAATGGGCTGGAAAGGCCACTTCCTTCACCCTCTAGATCTGCCCTTGGGAGAACAGTCCTCTTGGTCACATGGCAGAAGTGTGGCCTAGTCCCACCAAACCTACTCGCTTTCTGTCTGCATACTTCCATTTCCTCCAACTATCCCTTTCAAGTTTTCAGAAACAGCGTGTCCATTGCCCTCTTAAATCCCAGCCTGGAACTGAACGCCATCCTTGAAGTGTGGGCCGACAGCTCAGAGCCCATGGGCGCCACCGAGTAGGTCCTGGTCCTACCCTTCTCCTGCAGAGGCTGGAGCTAACGGAGCATCCTTCCCGCCACCACCTAAACACATCGGTGGTTCTTACTGAGCACAGGGAATAAACTCCTGAGAGCTTCTCAACATGAACCACTGACAAGCTGAGTCTCTCCCATTTAAAAAAATTCTAAATGCTGAGCTTCACATTTATTTTTGTTAACTTTCTCCATGATGGTTTCATCCATCCTGTTCCAACCTGTCGAAATCACTCTGAATGTTGATACTGACATCCATCATATTAGCGATCCCTCCCAGCTTTCTGTCATCTGCAAATGTGATCAGCATGCCTTCTACGCCTTCATCCAAGTTTTTGATGAAAACTCACTGTATTTTTTAAAAAAGACTTTTAATTTAATTGATTTGGGTCCAATTTTTTATAATTTTGTAAAGCTATCTAAAAGCAGGAGAATCCAAGCTATGAGGTTCGATCTGATTCCAAAACAATGCAATTAAAATAAATATGCTTTGCAAAATTGAGCCAGGCCCCAGAGGTAGTATCATCGTGACCCAGACTCTGGCATGGTCAATCTGCTATTTTGGACAAAGCTAACAATTAAATTGGATAAATGTTTGTCGATGAGGATGATGACTCTAGTCTAACACACCGAACAGTGCAGAAGCAAGCAGACACAGTGGATGGATGTTTCCGTGTGGAGACAGTTCCCAGCTGGGACAACGCAAAGTCCAGGACAAGCTTCGCCACTGAATAACTGATTAGGCCATGTAGACCAATAATTGGATGATTGCCCCCCCCCGCCCCCGTCATCATCACTTTGTGGACAAAATTCTCTGGACTGGCCATAAATAATCATTTCCAGTGCCTGAGAATAACATCAGACTGTGTGCTGTAGCCTCAGTGGAGGCAGTGTCAAGAAGCTTCATTAATTCAGATGGACTGCATAAGGGAAGGACAGAGTTGGTTCATGAAAAAGTCTGTATTCCCAAATGCTTTTCCATCACCCATTCTCACTGAAACCGGAGAGGCAGGGAATTTTGGTCTTAGGAGCACAGACTTTGTGGGGCAAATTGGACCCATTGGCTTCTAATTCTATCTCAGATACATATTAGCTATGTGACCTTGGAGAAGGAAATGGCAACCCACTCCAGTACTCTTGCCTGGAAAATTCCATGGACTGAGGAGCCTGGTAGGCTACAGTCCATGGGGTTGCAAAGAGTCGGACACGACTGAGCAACTTCACTCACTCATGTGACCTTGGGCAAGTCAGTTCTTTAGCCTTTCTCACTTTTAATCTCCTCATCTATGAAAGAGCAATCATCACACTTACCTTAGTGGTTTTGCTACATAGCACCTGCCATATGTAGTGTTTATACTCATTAGTTCAACAAATGACAGAATAAGAAGGTATGGCCAAGGAGACAACATACAGAGTACTGAGCTAAAGCTCTGACAAGTATCTTATTTAAATTTTATAAAAACAATCCTGGGAAGTAGATATTATTATTATTATTCCATAACACAGATGAGGAAGGTGAGATGCTAAAAGATTTAATCAGTTGCTCAAGGTCACCCAGCTTGGAATGGATTGGTCATTCCAATACATGATGGTATTGGAATTTTACTTGAGGCCTGCACAGTTCCAAAGCCTTAGCCCTTTAACCATTGCATTATTCAGTTAAACTATTATTTGAGACCTGGCTTCAGTCAAGAGATGCTACTTGTAATCAGAACAAGGGTCCTCAACCTTTGATGCCGAGGACCTGCCATGCTTCTCATAGGAAGTCTTGTGCTCCAGAGAGCAAAGGAGGCCTCACAGCCTAGAAGGAGGGAGGGGATGGAGGGAGGAAGGCCACAGCAGGCACGCCCATCAGCCTCCCATTTTTGTCAACACTACAACCTAAACAGAGGGCAAGAGCAGACACACTCACACTCTTGGCCAACCCTTCACCAGAAGTTCTGGATACTGGCTGGACCTGGAGAAGGCAATCTGGTCATTGCTGCCAAGCCAAATCAACCAAATGGGGATCCCTTGACTGGTTTCTCTCTTCTCTGTATGCAAACTGTGTTTCTAAGTTTCCTTGTCTTGGAGTGGGAGTAACTATCCTTACAGTTTATGGTTCTTTAAATGGTTGTTAGATGAGACAAATTACCACGATGTGTAGCAGGTGGAAATGGCTGAATAATTATGATCTTTTTCCTTTCTTCTCTTCTCTGGTGAGACCCTGCCTTACTAGAAGTTTGCTTTTCTAAGTCTCTTTTAAAACTGTCTTCTAGTAACATTTATACATTTGTTCAGAAAATCACTCTTCTTCATGTTATCCAAATTTCTGGGAATTTTCAGGTTTCAAACTGGTGATATTTCATTATGTCCCATATGAAATAAAAGTGTTGATATATTTTGGTTGACTTAACAACACTGGTGTTCATTTACAGTTTCAGATGTTTTCTCAACCATTGCTCCCATGTGACTGATGTTCAAAACATCCCTCTGAGGTTAAATATTGTAATCATCTCCATTGTAAGGATGAGAAAACCAAGAGCAGGAGTCAGGTGACCCAGGTGGGAAACATCAGAGGCAACACTCCATCCCAGTTCTCCTGACACCTCCTGACGTCAAGGCCAGAGCTAGCTCCTCTCCATCAGTGGCCTAACCCCTTTGCATAGGCATTAGGTCAACCAATGCCAGTGCAACTGGGTAAACTGTTTAAGGATAACTTGAGGCTTACCCAGCTGGTTTGGTCACAATATGAAAAAACACAGTAGTCATGTTGTCTAAAGCAGGAAAGCAATGTATAAATTGTAATTCACCTGTGCAGATTTTCATCGGCACAACCATCAGGAATCCTGCAACAATGGGTATGACAGGTGCGGCACTGTCAGGGTCATTCATTAAGGCATTTAGAGATTCAATAAGGCAAAAATTATTTGGTGCAATGGCTGCACTGGAATTGCTAAGTGAAGTGGAGAAATAGAGAAAAGGTATGAAAATGGTTGAGCACAGTGCCAGACACAGTCATTCAATCCAGGCTTATCACTAGCATCATGAATAGAGACCCTGATCATTCACTCAAAAGCAGGATGTCATAAAACTTACTCTGGAATAATCAAGATCTCTGGGCGTTGAGTCTGTTAAAGCTCGGACAAGGGCATTCATCATACAGATCGGAGGAGAAGGTGGAGAGGGCTGAGAGGCTTCCTGCTGTAATGGGCTCTTTGGTTTGGAAGGCAGCCGACCTCTCCTCCCTTTCAGACTGTCTGTACGGACAACTGATACCAAGAGAAAAAAAAGAAAAAATGTCTCCAAAGATATCCACAAACAGCCATAAATCACAGAAAGGAAACAAGCACTTTACAGTGGAGCAAATCATTAAATGAGACCGACCGTTTAAAAGTGGAAAAGTTTGGAGCAACATCCTCACAATGATTTAATGAGAGTTGAAACAGGCAGCATAACAGCCACCCCATACGTACATTTGGTAATGAATTAGCCCTAAAAGTCTCCTTCTCAAATAGAAGGAAGATGTATGTACACAAGCTCTCTATTGATTTTGAGAAATTAGAATAAGCAGACCTCTGCTATTTTTAAATGTAAATACACCATAAAAATAAAATGCTGAAAGGAAAGGGAAACTAGGAAAATTCACCATCCCAATGCAAATATTAACTTTTTCCAGGGATATCTGAGAATATTTATAAGCAAGTTGGATAAAAAGCATTATACCCATACCTTCTTTAACCATTCCGACACTGAGACACTTCTGAAATCGACAGTACTGACATCGGTTTCGACGTCTCTTGTCTACGGGGCAGTTTTTATTTGCCAGGCAAACATATTTTGCATTTTTCTGCACTGTTCTCTGAGGAAATACAATACACAGATAGTCAACTAATAGTTTCTGGAAAGAGGTAGGACCTGACAAGATGTATTTTAATTACAATGTGAAAAGCGACAGTGCAATTCGTATAATTAGATAAATTTAATTTCCTAACACGCTAGCCTGCAGGAAAAACAATTTTATTAGTGTTAGCTGCTGACAATGAAAATCATCTCGGATTGTTCTGAAGCAAGTCTCAGGAGACATCTAAGTCTGAATGATAAAATCATATCTGAAATTACCAGGTCAACATATCATACCTTGGAGGATTAGATTATCTTCACTTTTAATAACCCCTTGGGAACAATTTTCTACTTGGTCCACTCCCCTGATTATTGCTGACCTTATTAAAATAAAATCAAAATTATCTGGGATATACTTTGTTGCCTATCACTATAGTAAGTCAAATATCACAGAAACTGGCTTTGTCCGCCAATAGAGATGAAATCATAAAAAGCAAAAATGAGGATTTCTCTAGTTATAACATAGGAAATAAAGTTTTAATGCAAGAACAAATCACTTAATCAACCTTTGCAGTGTATGTTATTTTTAAAAGAATGGTAAGCTGTCGATTTCTGACTTTTGAAAGTAAAGATTTAAAACTGGATACTAAAAACCACTATCACATCCAAGAAAAAACAAACAAACAAAAAAGAATGAGATAAAGGAAGGAATATGAGGGCCATATATTTTCAATGAAAATTCCCATTAATAGGTTATGTCATAAATGACTATTGACATGAACAAAATAGCTATATTGTAAAAGATGCTACATTAAACTTGGGTATGGATATAAAATAATGTTGTATTCTTCAGAATCACATACAATTTTAAAATGAAACATGAAATAATAAAAGATATTTTATGCTCCAGATATAAGAGAATGCTTGATTTAAAAAAATAAAAATAATCTGTGCAAATGGATGTGTATTCACCATTCATTCAGAAATTACCTGAATCTATTCAACTCCAAATAGAGCAGAAAGGTGAATTTATTTGGTAAGCCTGGGCTACATGAAAAAAAAAATCCAGGTAATCTGGGATTGGGGATCTATTTTGTGTCTAAAATTCTAGATTTACTTTCTATCTTTTTAAATTTTAAGCAATTCTCAATCCTCTTGTATCAGTTTTTACTCTATCACCTTTTAATTTCATTTTAAGAGATCATTTCTAAACTACTTACATAAAATTTAAAGTCAGATACATTTTCCCTGCTTTAGCAGGTGATTCTAGTTCAAAATGAGAAATTTCCAAGATACAACATACTTCTGATGCTTCCAGCATTTAAATTTGCAGCAGTCTGTAAGGGTAGGAAACCTGTGTTTCCTGAATGAAGCTCTCTTTCATTGTAATTAAAAGCTCTCTTTCAAAGTAATTTTAGAAAACTATATCTCTTGTCATCATCCTCAAGGATATACCAATTTGAGGGCTGGTGGCATTTTGCGTCAGGTAGATGCTTTCCCAATAAACTGAAACCTCCCTAACATTCGTGTGCCTGCAGAGATCGTTATGGTTCAATCACTGAATTCCCATCATTAACTGCACTTCATGTCACATTTTTAAAGAATTCAATTTAATGGTAGAAAGCCACTGGGTAAAACATGCTCCTGTCCTCCCTTAATTAACAGATCCGTGGGGTGGTTCTCCCCGATCCTACCCCCACCCTTTCAAGTATAGATTTGTTTTCAAGGTATTGCTGTAGAAAAAGGAGGCTTGTTGGGGAACACAATTGACATTTCTAGACCAGGAATGTATTATCACTCCTGCATTTAGGTCAACTCTCAATTATTCAGGGGTGGTTATATTTATGGATTACTTATACTTCTCGTAATTGTTTTTCTTTCTTTTCCCCCTTCTGCCTGCCTGTTTTCAATGCCTTTCAGCATTTCCACTGCAACACTGTAAAAATCAAATCTGCTGAAGAAATGCAGTTACTTGACAGAAGAAAACGGCTGAACTGACAGTTCTACATTTAAGACATCATAATCTAGCATACCTCTTGTATGGTGCTTAATATATTGTAAAATCTTTCCACAAACATTTTCTCATTTGTCTGCAGAATTTAATTAATCACATGATTCCTATCTCCAGATCAAAAATAACTGTTGCTTGTTGATATGTATACCAATGTACACATGTGCATTTTTCATAAATACTTTGTAGTTTTCATTTACAATGTACAATTCTTTTATGACCCTTTAAAAATTATAAAGTATTTTCATAAATGTTTTATCTCATTTAAAACTAACACGTCTTCTCTGAATTGTATTCACCTGATAGGGAAACTGAGGTCTGGAAGGAAGTGTCCTACCCAACATAATAAAATCGATAGGTGACAGATCAAGGATTCCTTTCTGGGTATTCTGACTCTTAATTCCAGCATGCTCTAAGATCCAGCCTATTGGCCTCCCAAATCCTCATTACCCAATCAGCATCCAGCTTCTCCTCTCTCTCCACCCCGGCCAGCACTGGAGGTTAGGAAGTGAGAACTGTGGGAGAACATTCTTGGGTTTGCAAACACCGGATGCAATGACCAAGGCAGTGAGAATAGGGAGGGTGGCACAGAAGTAAGTGTCTGGGGTCAAGAGCAAAAGCAGAGCAGCAAGAGAGCAAGGCCTCTTCTCTCTGAGTGTTGCAGAGAGCACTGAACTCCAGAGTAGCAGAAACTAGATGGAACTGTCCACATGTGCCACTAAATCACCTAACCTTCAATATCCTCATGGGTAAAAGAAGGGGGAGGCTAAAGACCCCTCCCGCTGTAAAATTCTCCTTTGGGTCTATGAGCTAATGAAGAGTGTCCACACCTGGCCTTGTGTGTGGCACAGAAGTGGAGCAGATTGGTGAGACTCCAGTTCTCTCTTCTGCAAGGGGAGCTGCCCTAAGCTGCATCCCCCAGATGCCCCTGTCTCTTCTTCAGCGGCTGAGCTGTGAAGAAAGCATGCACTTTGGGGTCATGCAAACACCAGTTGGCATCCTGCCTCCATCTCACTTTCGGAGTGTGTGTCCAGGGGCAGTGAAATAACTTCTCTGAGCCTCCATTTCCTCATCTATAAAACAAGGATAACTAATTTAAACCCTCAAGATGCTGTTCATAAAACTAGCTAGTGGGTGGCCAAAATTCAATCTCAGTTCTGTCTGATCTAGAGTCCTAGCTCTCACTAGGAGGATTAAATGAGATACAAATACCCAAGGCATGGCACGCAAGACTCTATTCCCTCAGACATTTGGGATGGATAGAAGAGGAATACAGAGAGGTGTGTATATTTCTGAGGTCACAGATCCCTTTGTGAATCTTCCGAAAGCTCTCTCCAGAAAAGATTGCAGCCGGTAAAGCCACGTCGGGAAGTTCCCAGTCTCCGCAAGCCCACCTGGGGCAGCCTCCTGAGATTGACATCAAGTTAAAAGGCCCCGAGAAAGTGGGAGTGAAGGTGCTAGGAAAGGCTACAGGAGTGCGCGTGTAGCATCACACCTCTAGTGGCGCGGGCCGGGAGGACCCACTCAGCCGCTCTCAGCGGGGGGCTGAGGAGGCCGGCCGCGGAGGGGAGGCCGGGGGGGGGGGGGGGGGAGCGGGCGGCTCACCTTGAAGAAGCCCTTGCAGCCCTCGCAGGTGCGCACGCCGTAGTGCTGGCAGGCGGCGTTGTCCCCGCACACGGCGCACGTGCCCTCGCCCGAGGCCGAGCTCCTGCTGGGCGGCGACGGCAAACTGGGGCTCTCGCCCAGGAGGCTGGACGCGGTGGGGGAGGCCGTGAGGCCCAGCGGCGGGAAGGCCAGGGCGGACGCCCTCTTGGCCAGCGGCAGCCCGTACGGGTGGCCCTCGAGCGCGGCGGCCTGGCTGCCCGCGGCGGCGGCGGCGGCGGCGGCCGCCGCGGCGGCGGCCCCCAGCGGAAGGCTGAGCGCGGCGGCGGCCGTCGGGTCGTAGCCCAGGTGGTGGCCGCCGGCGGGGCCCGGCGCCGGCGGGTGCGGCGGCGAGGGCTTGAAGTGGAAGAGTGGGAAGCGTGCGCCGGCCACCGTGGGCATCGCCTTCATCGGCGGGTCGAGCAGCGGGCCGGGCGCGATGCAGCCGGGCGCCGAGGGCATTGCGTCGTCCCACATCGCCCCCGCCTGCGCAGGGAAGCCCGGCGTGGTGGGGGTGGACGGCGGGGACTGCTTAAAGTACATGGAGGTGCTGGGTAGCACCTCGTCCTCCGGCCCGGAGGGGGGCGGAATGGATGGCTGCTGCTGCTGGTGGTGGTGATGCTCATGGTGATGATGGTGGTAACCGTGCGCGCGACCCTCCTCCATCTTAACCAGCGGCCGTGGCCCCGACGGCTGCATCTGGTAGAGGCAGGAGGGCTTGAGTTCGTAGCTGCCGGAGTAGCCCTCCATGAAGGTGCTGAAGCTGGGCAGGGCCGTGGTGGCCGTGGCGGTGATCTCCGTACTGCCAAGGTCCACGGTCAGCTTGGCGTAGTCAGGATTCATGATCTCCGTGGTGTAATCCGAGCCGTATGTTTGTGCTGCATAGCTGGAACCTGGCGGCGAAGGGCTATACTGGGCTTGCACGCAGGGCATATCTGCAGGGAGAGGAAAAAGGATCTCTCAGAAGCGTCTTCTAGCTAATGGGTGGCAATGGATTCGTTGCTCTCTAATACGGGAACTGGGAAGTGACAGTCTTTCCACCTTTCTAGCAGCATAGATTCCTTCCTTCCCCCTTCCAGTGCTCGCGCTCTGTTTCTTTCATTCCTTTTTTATTTCTTTTCTCCTTCCTTCTTGCCTCCCTCCCTCTGTCTCCCCCACTTCCCTCCCTCCCTCAGTGGGCAGAAAACTGAATCCCTTAGGAACTGCCCAGGGGCCACAGGCTGTCACAATCTAGCCTCCCGGGGACCTCTGTGTCCTCCTTCCTCCCCCTGCCCCGCCCTCCATTAGATCTGGGAAGTTTGATATCTTCCCTCAAAAGCCCAATTGGGTTTTAAAAAGTGATTTTGAGCCCTGGAAATTTAATGGAGTGATCTCAGCTATCAATTTAGGAAGACAAGAAGAAATCCAGTGAATGCCCTGTTGGTTTATTTTGGGAGCAAGAGACCACTAATCCCCCACCCCGCCAAGTCAACTCTCTGATTTGTAAACTTGAGTGTTAGTAAAAGAAAGAAAAAAAGGTGTCCTACTTGGGACTTACTGGCCCAGTGACATTCTAACATTTTATGAGTGCCAACTGAGGCTACCCATACACTTTGTGGTTGCTTTCTCCCACCCCCTCCCTACTCCTCCAAACAGGACTAGCAGCCTGCTCAAACTGGACCCCTGTTGATGATTTCAGCCAGCTAGGTGGTAAGGTGGGAACACAGGCCCAGGAAACGGGCTTGAGGGAGTTTGCACCATCTGCAAAGAAAAAGATCGGCAGCTGCAACAAAACACCCACCAAACCTGCTCTGTGCCATATACACCTATATATACATATACATATATATATATATATATATATATATATATATATATATATATATATATATAGGTTCCCAGGTATCACTAGTGGTAGCGGTAAAGAACTCAACTGCCAGTGCAGGAGTCATAAGAGATGCGGGTTCGATCCCTGGGTCAGCAAGATCTCCTGAAGGAGGGCGTGGCAACCCACTCCAGTATCCTTGCCTAGAGAATCCCATGGACAGAGGGACCTGGCAGGCTATAGTCCACAGGGTTGCACACAGTCAGACATGACTGAAGCAACTTAGCACATATACGTAAGCAAGTGTTAAGTCACTCAGTCGTGTCTGACTCTTTATGACCCCATGGACTATAGACCTCCAGGCTCCTCTGTCCATGGAGTTTTCCAGGCAAGAAAACTGGAGTGGGTTGCCATTCCCTTCTACAGCGGTACACATGTATATGTAAATATATATATATTCCCCCATCTAAGTAATATATCAATAGCTGCTTCATAACTACAGTTTGGTTATAACGTGAGTTATCTACGTATTTTCTTATGATAGAAAAGTTAGCACCTCTAGAAAAGAAAACATTTTCATAATAGATTTAGTTTTCCTCAGCCCCAAAGCACTGATATCTGGAGTACTTATTATTGTTCAGAGAGGTTGAAGTAACGAGAAAGCCCTGAGACATATTGGATCCAGTGGATAATGTATCTAATTATTTCCTCTTCTTTATGGCTAAATATAAATAGTAAACTGGGCAGTTTCTGGTGGTTGGTTTTTCTGAACCAAAGGAAAACCACGTGTTTAACCACGTCTCTTTGGAGTCTATCTTGTAAAAGGTGTGACTAATAGAAAAGCAAATACTTCACATTTCCTTTGACATCTTTCTCTTACCCACATTTCCAAATCTGATTGAGTCATACATGTATGGGATGAAATCTTGACTTGAGAAAAGGTGTTGAGGGCCTGTTGGAAGAAGCAGTGATGAGGAGAGGCCAGTTCAAGCCTCTGTTTTCCAAGCAAGGCCCTACAAATGATCATTAGTTTCAAGTTAAAGGAGCACTTACCCTGCTGTCCAGCTTTTGGGGTGAAATGAAAGGCTAGTCATTAAAAAAAAAAAGCGCATTGCCTGATGTTTCATTTGTTGTCTCCTCTTGGATTTCTCTATGACTCTTTTCTGTCATTCTTCACCAGTCCCTACCGATTGTTGTTCTTTGTGACTTTCTGAGGTTTCCAGATAGAAGATGAGCTGACTGGGACTGGGTTCTATTTATTTGCATCTCTTTGGCTAGGCACCTGGTATCCCTTGCTTGTTGTTTAATCGCTAAGTCTTGTCCAACTCTTTTGTGACCTCTGTCCATGGCATTTCCCAGGCAAGAATAGTGGAATGGGTTGCCATTTCCTCTTCCAGGGGGTCCTCCCAATCCAGGGGTGGAACCATGTCTACTGCATTGGCAGGTGGATTCTTAACCACTGAGCCACCAGGGGAGTCCTTTACCAAATGCAAAAAGAGGTGCTACAAGCTAAACCTGCAATCCTTCCTTTTGCCCAATTCAAATTTACTCCTTGGTTTTCAGCTCAAATGCTTTTCCCTCTTTCCCTCTGAGCTTCAATAATCCACATGTCTGCACTCAAATGATTTGGGTTTTATACAAACAAAAATGCTTTGTATTGTTCGAAATGATCCCATAATTCTTAAATGCCTTAGCATTAAAAGGAAAGCAAAAATGAAGACATTAAAAGGTATCAAAATATCCCAATCTACTGGTGTATTTGCATTTTTCTTAGGAAAAATATCTTTGAGAAATGCAACGCTTAATTTAATCTGGCTGCTCCACTAGGTAGCAACAGCGTGTGGTATCCAGAGGAGCTTCGTGCAAAGAAGCCACCTGTGCCGTGAAATTCGCGGCCAGCAGTCACTCACTGTCCTGGCGCTGGGCAAGTCCACCAGCCTGCTTGTGGGTGTGTGGCGTCTCCACCCACACCTCCCAGCCCGGGAAGAATAAAGGGTCGTGCCTACAGACCTACCTGGAGGATATCTTGCGCGCTGAATGGTGGGGCTGGGGGTCTCTCCAGCGGAGGCTGAGCGTGGAGGAGGCGGGGACGGCCGGCTGGGTGAAGTGGCTGCGGGGCCGCCCGGCTCCGCTGAGGGCCCAGTCTCAGCGATGGGGCTTGCCGGGCTGCGCTCTTCCGCAGTAGGCTCTGGGGGGACGGGGGGCGGGCACCAGGAGAAAGGATAAAGGTCACAGTGAGACTATGCTGGGTCACCGAGGCCTGGACTGGGCATACGGGGGTGGGGGTGATAGGGATCTCTAGAAATGACAAAGAATTAAAAGGCTAAGAAAGCAGTGTTTAGGGTGATCGGAGTCCCTGGGCAAAAGGCATCACAGCGCCGTGGGGGAGCCGAGCAAAGGTTGTCCGAGCCTACGGCGGTTTTGTGGTTCCCGAACCAAGGCTAGAAAACGCGCAACCAGTTGTTGCCCAGAAATTAATCTGCTTGACCCCCCACTGGTTCGGAGCTAGCGATGTCAGGAAAACCGAAGAATGGGAACACTTGAGGGAAGAGTTCTGCCGGAATCGGAGTCTGTGAGTGTGCAGGAGCGGAAAATATTTTCCAACTTCACCCGCCCCCACCCCTCAAATACAAATTTTACACGTTGCGTAGGAAATGCACAGGGTCCGGAACGAATGCATGAATGCCCCGAGGAATTAAGAAAGTCTGAGCTTTTCATTCTAAATGCTAATGGAGCTTCGCTTCTATTAGAGGCGAGTTTCGGGGTCCAGGGGTCAAGCAAACAAAAGAGCGCAGTGGAAATAGGCCGGCGCTGGAAGCACCGCACAAGGCGGTCGGCGTTTGCCGCTGCTGGTGCCAGCCGAGGGAGGCCCCCCCTGCACCCACGGGCGGTATCCCAGAAAATGGGCGACTTCGAGGCTCCGGGCCACACGGCGACCCGGAGGGGGCGCGACCCGGAGGGGGCACGACCCGGAGGGCGCCGAGAGCGGCTCTGGGGCAAGTGTCTCTGCGCAAAGCCTTAGCGAAACTTTGTACCTGGAAGCGCATTTCGGCGGGCCTCGGGAAAGGATCCCATGACCCCCGTTCAGTTCAGTTCAGTCGCTCAGTAGTGTCCGACTCTCCGGCCTACAGCGCCCCCTTTGCCCGGACCCACTCACAGCTATAAGAATGGGAACTGGCACCCGAAAAAAACCGCCAAAATCCCAAAAACCTCGGGCGTGCCCGAGCCACGGGTGTCCAATAAGTTTCGTCTCCCGCCGCCCCTGCGCCCGCGGCTTGCCTGAAAGGAGAGAGGGGATCGGAGCCCCCAGATCCGGGAAGCCCCTGACGGCCAGGAAGTGGGGGATTCCCTTGCCGCCCCCACCCCCGCGCCAGCCCCAGCTGATACTACAGAAAGCTTGCGCTCGCCCTAGCGCAGGGTCTTCCCACGGCTGGAACGTGCGCTTCCCGTCCCTCCGCATCTTCAGTGGGAGTCTCCGGCAACCTCCCACCACCTCCTCCAGGTGCCCACGTTCCCGCCCTTCTTTGGGGTCTTTCAAGCGGAGTCATTCTCCAAGGGTCGACCTCTGGCTAGGGTGGGTGAGGGAAGCGTCTCCCCAAGGAAGCGGAGGCTTCCCTCGCGCGCCCAGTGTTCGCGGGGGTGGGGTGGGCTGAGATGGGGTGGGCAACCCACACCACACCTCCTACAGCCGAGCCTAGTGCCCCTCGACTCTCTCCGCGGCCCCCTCTCCCCCCGCCCCGAAAGGACCGGTTACCTAGGCAAAGCCTCCGCGCCTGGAAACACGTTGCTCCGCTCCCGCTCGCGGCCGCCGCGGCCGGGAACACGGAGCCTCGGGGTTGTAAATTAGGAAGAAATAACTACCTCTGTCAAAGCCCCTTTCTTTCTCGTGGGCAGACGAAAGGAACACCCCCGTGTTCCCCTCCCCGTGGTGGAGTGTGTGAAGGAAACCGTGAAACGCACCATTGTGACCCGGGCTCCTCCACGGAGTTTCCAACCCTGGGGAGCGGGGGCGGAGGTGGGGCGGGGGCAGGAGGAGTGGAGGAGAGATCGACAGAAAGGGAAAGACTGAGATTCTCAGAAAGACCGAGGGAGAGGAGGCAAACCGCGGGGGAGAGTTTCTGCGAGCGCAGGGTCCAAGGGAAGGGGGTAGGGTGGGGTGGGTGCGGGGGTGGGGAGCGGGTTTCGTGAAGCCTGCTGCGGCCCAAGAGGTTTGTGATAGTCCACATTATGAGCATCTTGTTAAGATAAAAGAACTCTAATAAATTCAGACTTCATTGACTGTGCTCAGAAGCCACGTCGGGCAGCTTTTCCTCTCCCCAACTCAGTTCTGTAAAACATCTCTCCGTCGTGGGAAAAGAAGATTCAGGATTGGGTTAGCGATGAAATGACTGAACGGCGCTCCGTACCTCTCTCCCGGCACTCTAGGGCTCTGGGATAATAGCCTGAGATTTCTGACAGCCAAACTCCTTGCAGCTCTTCCCTTTAGACAGTCCGTGGGCATAACAGATAAATGACAATCTCCAAGAACGTTCTTTAGAATCAAGGGACAAACGCCTTCTCCCTCACGATTGCCCCAAGCTTCCAACAGGTTTGAGAAGTGCCCTTGGAAGTCAGTCTCCGCAGGCTGCACTCGCTGGACCGTTCTCCTCTTACCACCGAGAACTTTCATTTCTACCAAGAGCAAAACACTCCGAGCAACTTCTCCAAAAGCGCGAATTCTGTCAGTTGAAACATGCCTTACCCAGACCGAGTCAAGGCCCAGAGGAGGGGGGGGACATATCCCCACGCATGTTGGGGCACGGGGGTCGGCAATTACACCCGATTACCTACGAAGGGTAGAGTGTACACCGGCAAGTCGGCGACGCCAGGCAGGCGTGCCCGGTGGAGCCCCAGGCTCATTTCAATACAATAAGCCACATTCCTACAATTACGCCCTCTTTCCTGAGGTCCTCCGAACCCGGCTGCAAACTCCAGCCAGGTCCCCTTCCTTCCCGAGCTTCCTCCCAGTCAACCATCTCGGAGTCACCATCAGGTAGATTAACTTGGACCCACCGGAGTCCCTATTTCCAATCCTAGTTAAAAGGCAGGAAAATTACTGCCGTTCATCACAGGAGCTGCAACTCCCTGCCGCTGCCGCCGCCGCCGCCGCCTAGAGCATCATTACCATGACAACTAGAGCCGAAATACCCTGAATTACATCGCTGGAGCTGCTACTGCACAAATCGCGGTCCTCGTCTTTGTTAGAGGCTTTTCGCCTCTTCGGGTAAGGAGAGGAATCCCACAAGCTCCAGAGATCCCCCAGGCCCGCTACCGGGAGGGAAAAGTTTCAGATCAGAACCCACCGGCGACTCCGCGAGCAAAGCCGGAGCGAGGAGCTAGGAGGGGAAAACCCCAACTCAAAAAGTTGTCAATTCCAGAAGCTGAGCTTCCCAGCGCGCCAACTTTTTACCAAGTCCCCCTATTAACTGAGCGAATCTCATACGTACTTGAATGCTGTGGCGGTTCCGTCTTTAGTGCGAGTTTCTAGAAAGCTGCCCCGAAATCTGCACTGGGGGGGGACTCAGTGCTGCTGTCCCGGAAGGGCTGCGCTGTGCAAGTCCGGCGGCTCGCAGAGGCAGGGAGCTGCTGGCAGGGGATGCTGCGGTCCCGACTCATGGGAGAGCGCCGCCGCGGGCTTCCGCGGGCGTCCCGTCTCCGGCCGCGACCAGGGGGTAGGATGCCGCTTCTGTCCCCACCTCCACGGCCACCGCCGGCGCTGTCAGCGTTGCAAAGTGAGCCCGGGAGCGGAGTCCGACCGCGGCGCTGCGCTGCACCCGCGAGGGCGCAGGGCGAGAGGGGTGTGAGCGCGCGGGAGAGAGTGGAGCGTGTGTGCGGAGCGTGTGTGCGCGCGCGTGTCTGTGTGTGCGAGTGAGGGAGCGGGCGTGAGCTTGTCTGCGTGTGGGGAGCGGAGGAGGAGCAGGAGCTGGAGGGCTGGGGGGCGGGAGGCAGGAGGCTCCGCTCTCCCGGCCGCGCGTTCGCTCGCTCTCTCGGCACGTCATTTATGCCACAGGAGCCCTAGCGCCCTCTCCGTAGAGTGCCTGGAATGCGAGACGTCAATGTGACGCCATGGGACGCTACGTCACCCTCCTCCTCCCTCCTCTGGCCCAGCCGGTTCCGCGTGTGCGAGGGCGGGCGCCTGTGCGTGTGTGTGTGTGTGTGTGCATGTGCGAGCACGCGCGCGCGCCCCCGGCCGTTCGCAGGGCGGGACAATGGAGACTGCGGCGCCGCCAGTCCTGGCGCGGCGACCTTTCGGACTAGGGCTGCCCACCCCTTTGCACCCGCGCGGCTCGCCCGGTCGCGAGTCGGTGAGGGTGCAGCGGCCCGCCCGCAGGTCAGGCGGGACCGCCCAGCTGTCAGGCTCGGGTGGAGGCGAGTTGGAGGAGAGCTACTGGCACGCCTCCGAGGCTGCCCCGGGGCAGGGAGCCAGGGCGAGGGGGTAAGAGAGAGGACAGCTCTTCCGAAAGGGAAGGCTCCGCCAGACAGCTTCTCTGAGCGACCTGGCAGCCAGTGCGGGAGTCAGGCACCGGTCCGAAGACTCCCTGCGCTGCAGTTGCGCTTCCCCCAAGCAACAGCCCGAAGCTGTTTACGTCTCCCGTCTCTCTGACTCTCGGTGCCTAGGCTTAATCCCTCTCCTCCTCCGGTCATTTGCTGGGTGCGCGTTTTGCACAGGGATACCGCTGGCTCTGGGAAGATAAGGTTTTCTTTCTTTACGCTTAAGGTGTGAGTTTTCTAACTAGACCTTATCACCCAATTTAGTGCACATCCACCACCCGCGCGCGCTGTGGCAACTACTTAACGTGTGTAAAACAAACACACACGTGTTGAACAGCCGAGCGAGTCTGACCGTTGCAAATCACCCCCTCCCGTCAGAAATGGAACTCTCAGCTCGCACTTTCACTTTTTGATGGTTGTACATGGGCCTCCCCTCCACCTCCCCAATTAAACATTTCGAAATCAATCAACAGGATTTATTAGTCCGTCCTTCGTTAGGGGAATCTGTGCTGGTCTCCTGAGACGTGTTTGCTATGAAACGGTGAGCTGAAAGCCTGGGAGATTCTGTTAGGGAGAGCAGTTTCTTCCTGGAAGTGATGAATTTAAGTGTGAATTTCTTGCTGAAAACAATAACAAAATTTTTTCAGAGTTAAAGTCTCCTAGCTCCAAAAGTTGCAGCTGGGTGAAAGCAACCACTTTTATAAATGAATTTTTGAGGAGGAGAGAATATTTGAGTGAAACTATGCAGACAGGCATGGTCCCCATGTGGTCCGCTTGAATCAGACATGACATTTATGTTTCTGACCTGTCACAGCCTTTGCTTGTGTGTTGAGGGGTGGTGTGGGGCGGAGCACACAATTCAGAATCGAAGGTTCGAGCTAGCACAAGAAACTTGAAAACAAAACTAAAGTTATATATATGATCTGGGTATATTTCTTCGCCTCCACTTCCACTTCAGACAGGGTGGTGTGGAGAAGACCTGGAAGGGTGCCTCGAAAGTTGACCTGGAGGACAGGAACAGAGTCTCTGCACCGCCACAGGTTCCAATCCAGTCTCGGAAGGAAGGAGGGCGCTGCTACATTGCATCCATTCAAAGACTGGAGGGTGGGGGGGGGGGAGCAGGACCTGGAGCCGCGCAGCACTGACGCACGCGAGGCGCGTGATTGACGCAGGCGATGTTACTAAATTCGGCAGTTGGCCCGGCCCCGCCGCCGGCGCGCGCCGCAGATAGCGGAGTAGGTTCCCCTCGGTCACCCCCGCCCCTTCTCCATTCAGCGCGGCGCCCGGGCGGGGCGGGGCGGGGCGGGGCGGGGCGGGGCGGGGCGGGGTGCGCGCGGGGCGGGGCGGGGCGGGGTGCGCGCGGCCGCGCCGGGATCCGGCCGCACCAAATATAGTCGGGCCTGGCTATTTTTAGCCGGGCCTCGGGCGCGAGCGCGCCGCGTGAGGGGGCGCCCTGACCCCGCGGGGAGTGCGGAGGGGGCGGGGGTGGAGTCGCCATCTTGGACTCGGCTCGACCCCGTCTGGTGACCGGCGACGCTGGGCCAGGCTCGGCGCAGGGGGTCGGGGTGAGTGGGTGTGAGCTGTGGGAGAGAGCGGGGCGCGCGGGCTGTGACGGGAGCGGAGGGCGAGTCAGGGCGCGGAGACCGCCATGAGGGGTGACTCGCGGGAGGGCGCGCGGCCCGCGGCGCGTGCTCGGCCGGCGGCCGGCGGCCGGCGAGCCCCGGCCGTCCCGCCGCCCGGCGTCCTCGCCAGCCCAGAGTCGCGTGGGGGCGGAGCCGCCCGCGGCCGCCGCTTCCTGAGAGCCGGGGATACCCCTCCCGGACGTCACGGAGGAGCCGAGGCGGCGGTGGCGGCCCGCGGCCCATCCTGCACTTGCATCACGGGTGCAGCAGCAGCTGCTCGACTCCTTTGTGGCTTTCCCCCTGTTGAGTAACTGCTTTGTTAGCTGAAAATACCATGACGGGCCAGTGTGATCACCAGCTCCAGACCTCAAAGAAAGTGAAGCTGTCGGGCAAAAAGAGGGAGACTCCCCTAGCCGGCTGCGATGCTATCTGGTGGGTGGGTGTGTACAGCGGCACTTGACGGTTTCCACGTGTTACCTTTTGCCTGACTTTTCACCCCAGGAAGGCTTAAAAATACTTTTATTTCCATGCTGTGAAAACTTCATGTATTCTGCACCCCACCCATTCCCCGTTCAATTTGAAATCGCGTGCAGGACTGGAATCACTCAAAAGGACAACTGTTAGGTACAGTTTTTAGGAAATAGGACATCTTTCAGTGAATTTGTTGAGTGAGTAAACTACGTTTCTTAAATGTTAATATGTAAAAGTTGCTAGTTAAGTTTGTTCATGTGACTTGGATTTCCTCCGTGACAGTTTCGTTATTCTTATTTGTCTTAAATTAAAAAAAAAAAAATTCCATCCCTAGCTGAATGTCTCCAGGTAAAGCATTTTTCTCTTTGACATGTTGAGTGGATGTGACTTTCTGGACGTTTACGTTGGTTAATTATGTTCCCTCCTTCCCCCTCCTACCTGTTAAATCCTTTTTTCCCCCCGAGTATCTGGTCACCAATCTTTTTTCCTTGACTGCTTTGAGGCTGAGGGCTGTTGTCTGATTGCGCTGAACCAATCAGCTGTCTTAGTGCTCCTCTGGGTAGGAAGCTGAACTGACTGTTGGAAAGGTTCCAGTGGTCCCTGATAAGTGGCAACATTTTTGCACTCAAATGGAAAGTCATGGAAGCAGAGACAAGGCTTTCTTACAAACTGGGACACCACCCCTGCTTAAACCTAGGGCCCTAATCATATGCACTTCTTCAGATGACCTCAAACCAAGTGAATCTTTTCAGTCTTCTTTTTCAAATATCTGTTCCATAAGTCTGATTTACTAAAAACCAGGCATAATTTTCTGTAAGGCTTATGTAACTTGACCATTTCAGTGTACCTTTTTGATGACTTTTTAAAAACTTAAACGGTACTTTATAATTAAATCTCTTGGGAAACCCAATAGAATAAGACTATCTTAATCTGTGGAATGTTGAAAACTTAACCTGGTTTGGTCCTTTTTCTAGAAGAGGGACATTCATGTGTGGCCCAGTTTACACCCAAAGCAAAGAAAGCAGTTAGTTTCTGCTTTCATGATACTTGTGGCAGCCAATCTGTTAAAAAAAACTCTATGAAGTAACTATTACACATTCACTGGGTAATTACGTTTTGTTTGTTTTGATTATGTGGTTATAGTCTGCAAGAAAGAAAGTGCTCTTTCTCTTGGAAAATAAAATATGAAATTTGAGGGAAATTTATTGTGTATGATATAAAGCAAATTCTTTAACAAAATAGGATTTAAAAATTGCTTTAAGTGTTCTTCTGATTAAACACTGATATGTACATCTTGTTGATTTTGCTCATATCTAAAGAGGATAAGGAGTCTTATTGATACAAAACTTGAGTGAGGTAAAGTGAAATAAAAATTCCAAGCCAGAATTTGTTATTAAGGTGAAGATAGGAGGGAAAATTAGGAGACCTGTGTGTAAGTCCATGTTTTCCTGAATCACTATAGAAGTTCTATACTACATTTAAGATATGTTAACAAAATGTGGTAGCTTGGCATAACATTGACTTATCCACTTAAATTACTCGGCTTATGAACGTGGGACAGTTGCAGTATTCTATCTGACCTGCTTGCATACTATCCCTTCTCTGTCACTTCTATTATTGCCAAATTATTCTTCCTCGAGTATGGCTTCTGTTATATCACTTTTTTTTTTAAGCTTATGCTAAATAACACCATAGGTTTAATACTGTCTTCCAAACATATGAAATATAGGCCTTTGTTATATCACCCTTGGGTTCAAAAGTCTTCAGCAGCTGGGTGTTGTCTCCAAAATAAAGCCCCAAAGCCTGCACATCTTGGTTTCTTTATTTCCAGGTAATTTTCCTGTCCTGGTCAAACTGACATCCTGTCTGTGCTTCAGACACCCTTTTACCCTGCCGCATGTGTTCATGGTTTTCCTTTTTATGGAGTTCTCTTCTTCCTCTTCTCTGCTTATTGAAATCTTACCCTGCCTCTAAAACTAGCTCAAGAAATGAATTCTGATTGTGCTTTAGTCTTTCATAAAGCTCTTATTTCACTGCTTTTTGTACTCTTGTGTACATTGCTTATTCCCCTGTCAAACTGTAAGCTTCAAAAGCATGCCTCATGTATCTTTGAAATTCCTGTGGCTCCTAAGTCTAACAGAGATAGTAAATACCCATAAAATATTCCCCCATCTAAATTTGAATATGTATAGAGAACAGCTATAATATAAGTAACCAATTATATGGATTAGGATATTCTTGGAATGGATGGACAAAATTATACATTAGTTCTTTTCTTCACCTTAACTTTTAACACTTTTGATTGAATATGCCTTGTCAAGATGCCCGCCTCAAGGCCAGACAGCTGCATGGTGATACAAGGAAGTTGCAGCTTGGCGTGTGATATCTGTGTAGGAAGGTTTGCTATGATTTTTTTCCTGAAAGACTTTTGGTTTCACTCCTCTACCTTTTTCCCCTCTATTTGTACTTCCTCTTGTGCTGCTTCCTCTCAGTGAAGAATGGGCTGCTCTAGGCGAGGAAACGTTAATATCAACTTCTTTTGGAAAAATTTCTTAAGGTTCAGGAAATAGAACCATGGCACCTATGTATAGCCAGTTAAACATAAAAATTCTTGAATTTCTTATCGTTTCTAAAATATATGTAAGTAGATTTGTATGACATTACATATATGTAAAAGTAAGCTAGGCAAAGAGATTTTTGAATTTTGGTTTCTTAGAAGTTTTAGAAAGAGGCTCATGGGAATTCAAACATTAATATTTAACAAGGAAAAAGTAAATAGTAAATCAGCATAGACTTTCTGTTATGGAAAATTTCAGAAAAGAGTAAAAGCCAGAGATGGAATGATTACTTAATAGTATAAGTGCTAATATTATTTTTTAATCTCATTATATAATGTTTTTCTCAGTGAGTGAGTATAAGTTGCTCAGTCATGTCCGACTCTTTGTGATCCCATGGACTGTAACCTGCCACATTTCTCTGTCCATGAAATTCTCCAGGTGAGAATTCTGGAGTGGGTAGCCATTCCCTTCTCCAGAGGATCTTCCCAACCCAGGGATTGAACCCAGGTCTCCCCCTTTGCTGGTGGATTCTTTATCTGAGCCACCAAGGAAACCCCATTAGTAAATATTAGGACAGGCTTGCAGTCTGTTTGAAAAGATAGTTTATTTCTTAATCATGTTTTTCGCCAGTTGCTGGTAAACTCTGGAAGCCCACAGTAATTTGGGGGAGAAAAGTTATTACTCGTGTCTGATAAATAAATTCAGGATATTATTTAGGGCTTTGAAATAAGATCTGCATTTTATCTTGGGTTGATGGATGAAGTAAGTATCTCCCCACGTGTAACTACATAGCCCTTTACTATCCCCCAACTCCGGAAAAAAAAAGAAAATTGCCTCACATGTACAAGGTCAGTCCTTTAGCATATTCTCCAAGAGTGGGATGCTGTATTTTACAGAGAGCACTAGATTGCTTCTCAGAGGCCTGGGATTGGTTTTGCTGCCATGAAACTTCCCAGCCTTGGGTAAGTTAAGTCATCTTTTGGGGGACCTAAGTATCATCATCTGTAAAATAATAATGTTGGGCTTACCACGTGACCTCTAAGGATCGTTCCGTTTCTGAGGTTGAATGCTTGTGTCCGCTCTGCCCTGGCCTCCCGTCACTACTGGATCGCTGTGGTCAGGCGGCGCGGAACTCTCTTGCATGCTGTGCAAACAGCAGCAGCAGTAGTAGCAACATCACGCCTAGCCTCTGGCCTCTGTGGCAAAGAACTGGAGCCGCCGAGGGAGATCTCGGCGACCTGAGAGAGTTAATGGACTGCCGGCGTCTCAGCCTTGTTTTCCCTGAAGTGAAGACAAGCAGACACCTGGACAGTCCAAAAGTCATTCTATATTTAGCTTTGGGATTTGTTTTTGTTCGTTCATTTGAATATGGATGAATCACAAATTGACTTCATACAAATTAATAAACTTTCATTGGAATAGACACTGTTGTTTGCTCCTCCTGTTCCTTTCTGATGCTTACTGCATGCTAGGCATAAATCATTTCTTCTTACATGTAGCAGCTAAGGTGAAACTGTCCTTTTTGCTTTTTCCTAGAGAAGGACTGGTGATGGTGGGCTTGTAAGTCTTTACATTTCCTTTTAGAGTGTAAATAGATAAAGTGAAATATTGAGAAAGTAGGTCAAAAGTACTATGTATCAATTTTAAGTTGGAAAAATGTTAGCAAATCAGGCAGGAAGAATTCAATAAATTCTGCTTGTAAACTTGTTAGATCTGCAGTTGGATACATTTTTATGGATCAATACACACATGCACACTAAGTCGCTTCAGTCGTGTCCGACTCTGTGGGACCCCATGGACAGCAGCCCACCAGGCTCTTCTGTCCGTGGGGTTCGATAGGCAAGAATACTGTAGTGGGTTGCCATTTCCTTCTCCCTTGTGGATAAATAAGAGCTGACTTTATAGGCATTGGGAAATAGCCAAATTTTAACACATTGCAGGTTTATGTATTATCTGAGTTAGGTTTGAATAGTAAAACCATGGTTTGTCCATTAATTTTAAATGCCTCTTCTACGTATTTAGGTATCTGATTTACTGTTTGGATTATGTAATTAGTAACTAATTCTAATTTTTACCATAATACATATTTCATTATTTGCTCCTCATGTTTATAGTTCACTACTGGAAAAATTCTTCCCTGACATCTGTTCTGAATTAGTTCCCTTTTTATGTTTTCTTGTTTTATCAATTGTAGTGATGAGAATATGAAGCCATATTTTAAGTTTAGTAAAATTCCTCATTATTTATAATTTCTGAAAGTGATTGTCTTATTTAAATTCACA